CCCCCAAAAATAAATGTCGCCCCTTTTTAAATCTGTCCTGGAGCAAAAATTTACAATAAATGTCGCCCCTTTTTAAATCTGTCCTGGAGCAAAAATTTCTCCTAAAAAGTGAACTTCGTATATGGAATTCTTTCCAACCATCCTGGTCCTCAGAATGTCCTGCAGCGACCACACAGCCATTGGAGTGACCCATCACAGTGAACCCATTCCATGTGGTGTTTTAAAAAAGCTCAAGGTCAATGAGAAGAAAGCACCTGACATCATATCAGCTCAGACATGTTTAGTGCATGCGAGTTAGCATACAGCCACACTCTCCAATGACTTAAGACATGCTTCACTTTTGACCCTGCACTGTTAAATACCAAACTGGCTTACTGATCATGAGGCTCCAATCAGCAAGGGTCTAAGGCCTTGAGATGTACAGTGTACAAAGCTTACTACTCAGAGACTCTAATGTTTCGATCTTAACCTTCCTGCTAGGATCCCAAGGTGAGGCTCTCCAACCTTCAGCCGAAATTGATGTACTGGCTGGTATCATTCATACAATTATGCATACAACTTTTCCAAAGGATACTGATGCGCCATCCCTGCATGCAGGAGGCACCCACTTTGAACATGTGGTTCTCGCATGCCGATGTCTCCTTGGCAGTTACCGGCTCCGAGAGAGTCTGCCCCATCCCAACAGTCTGTAAATAACAAAACTAAATAAATTGAGGAAACTGCAAAACGTTAACAGGCCTCGCCACTGTGCATAACTAGTATTTAAATTCCAAATTTTGCTTCAAATTACTTGAAAAAAAAAGCTATTAGAACAGCAGCACCGCAGAAGAATACATCCAGGGTACCATGATTTTCTTTCCACCCCATACAAAAAACATTTAAATTGACTAGTGTGGCAGAAATTTTACTGTCAGCCTTTACAAGTACACCACATGTACAGTTGTGCAGGTACAGTACAACTCCCCCGTAAGTACAGTAAGGGGTGGTCCAACAAATGGCCTTAATGCTGAATTTTCTTATTGGTGTTCAGTGACCCATGGACATCTTCCGAACTGCTACCAGTACACCATGCATATTTGTATCACCAATACAAATTTGTTAAGATCGAAATACATGCATGTGAATATCAGTTGTGCAATCCGTGCACCCACAAAAGTTTTTTCCCTGTAAATACCGGTACGTTTTAAGAACAGATTTAGACTAGCCATTCTGTGCAAACAGCAAGAAACTAAACAAGGAATTGATAGAACAAAACATCAGTGACATCTAACAGGTAAGTTTCAAATCAATCTTATCATCTAAACCTATTGAAAATGAGTACAAGTTTGTGATTTGTGAAAACCACACCCAAAGAGGAAGTTCAGGGAAAAAATTAATATGGAGGCATACATGTATATGTGTAACATGTACTGGTACATGTACATGTACATGTAGAAGAAAAATTACCTGTTCAACAGCACTACCCTCAAACCAAACCAAATCATTTGGAATGCATACATGTACCGTATATCTCTTTACAATGTACATGTATGTTAATTCTTAAAAAAAATGCAAAGACCTAATCATCCAAATAATGCCAAAATGCAACATTTGCAAAAGCATGACTCTGAGAGATCAAGTACAATTGGAGCCCCTCAACCATTACTTTACACATGTACATTCATGTACATGTGTAAAGTAGATTTTTCAGATTTTGTGGGTTTTCTCTGTGAATCCTGCAATGGCAATCATGGTGAAGGCAATGCCATACAAAAGTGGAAAGTTGTGACACTGTTATTGATGGTTACCTCATTACTCTCTGTAATACATATCAACAACAGGAAGTTTATGAAAACGTAAAGTGGAATAAGTACACCTACAATTAAATGACCTTTTACAGGTATACATTGTATGTACTTCCAATTTTTTTCATGAGTTTTGAACAATGATGTTGGTAACAGCATGAATAATTAAAAATAAAAACTTAGAGCAGGGGATTGGAAATCAATTACCAGTATTTCAAGAAGATTCCCCAGTTTACATGTGTACCATTTCATGATGAACTGCAATTCATACTAACCATTTAATATTTTTTCCTGTACTCTATCTTGAAATACTCGCAACCCTTCTTGTGATGTTTCCCTGGTTTTCAAACATGTTTCACACTTTTCACCATCTTCACAGATTAATACAATATCCAAGTGGGGCCTATTTTATGATCTGAACAAAGAGAAAAAAACTTGAGTTGCCATGGAACCAACGACTGACATTTTCCTTACTAAGGATTATCCATCAACTAGTGTGCTTTCAACACCCGGAGACTACCGAAACTTTCGCTTCGAGGACTACACACAACGGGTCATCATTGCCAGCATCGTTAGTCTGGTCACTGTCTGCGGTCTCATTGGCAACTGCATGACCATTCTAGCAGTTGGCCTGTCCAGGAAACTGCAGACCAAGACCAACGTGTTTGTGACCAACCTCGCTGTGGCCGACTTAGTGACGTGCCTCTGTGCACCCTTCTCCGCAGTTGCACTGCTCAGCCGAGATGGCTGGCCCCTGCCCGACCTTGTGTGTTCGCTGTCAGCAGCCATTGGGTACACGTGCCTTGCCTGCAGTGTCATTACCCTTGCTGCCATTGCCATCAACCGTTACATACTGGTTACAAAGCCTCTGCAGACCTTCCAGTCTATCTACACGCCGAGGAAGATTGTGATGATGCTGATTCTGATCTGGGCATACCCCATCCTTGTCTGCTGCCTCCCCCTGTTCGGTCTTGGCCAATGGGGCTACTCGGACAAATACAAAACCTGCACCCAGGACACGACGCATGAGACCTCAGACTACTTCAGTCTTGTGGGCTCACTGCTGATCTTTCCTGTTCCACTGGTCATTCTGTTTGTCTGTTACTTCAAGATCTACCGCCACGTCACTCGTCACGCGACAACAATGAAGGAAAAGAGTGTCCAGATGGCGGCATCAGACAGTTCATCAGGGCCCAGTTTGGCTGGCAGCACCCAGCACCTGCGGCATAGGGGCAGCAGCACAGCAGGCAACATCAACAGGCGGCAGGTGCAGATTACCAAGAACCTCTTCATCGTGGTGTGCGCCTTCGTTGCCTGCCTGGCTCCTTTCGCCATTGCCCTGACCATCCCACCTAGTGACCCAGTCATTCCCTGGACAGGTATGATCATCATCTTCAATAGCATGCTCAACCCAATCATCTATGGACTCAAGCATCCACACTTCAAGGAAGTCTTCCATCGGATGCTGCGATGCCAATGGCACTTGATCCCTGAGCCTTCCGGTTTCTTAAGAAAGATGCAGTCTACAATACACTGACACAAAGCCCTGAGAGATTTGAGACATAATATAAGTACCAGTATTTGTGGGATTCCTCAAGCACTACCTCAAAGAAGAACAGTCAAGGCACGTACAGGAAGCTACATGTACATGTACCGGAATATGTGTCAAGTGTGTATACGAACATATACCGGTACATGTAAATCCACATATCATCTCCAAGGTCCAGTCGTTACTCTGTAGCAACACACTATCAAACATAAACCACAAGACCATTTACCAGTACTCTAGGCACATGAACAACGATACCACATACATGTACACATGTACGGTATCATACATGTACATGTACATATTGGTACACGTACATAAGTGACTCTTGCAAGACACTTGTACACGTACATGTTATCCATACCATACATGTACATGTAGGCCCTGTGAAAAGGTCACAGTGTACAGGCACATGTGCATACATGTGCGGTATGTATACAGTTATGTGCACATGGGTTGAATCAGCAGAAAAAGTGGCAACATGTGCATACATGTAGTGCATGTAATGATGTATGTGTGGACAAAGGCAACACAATCCTGTACTTTTTTACATACTGTAGATCTGTAAATTACAAATTTGTACATGTGCGAGGGTAATTCCAGAAATTAGGGGTCCAAACGTGTGACATTTTCGCTACATCTGACCTTTGTTATTTGACATGGAAATATTGTGACATTTTCGCTACATCTGATCTTTGTTATTTGACATGGGAATATTGCCGGAATTGTTTTCAAACTATTACTATTTGTTTGGCAGGTAATTTACATCGTGGAAATTAGAAATGTGTTCTGAACTTACAAAATCACATGTCAGATGGACGTTGTAACAGGGACATAACAAAATTGACCCCTAATTTCTAGAATTACCCACATGCCGGTACGGTACATGTACGTGCACTGATGTTGACGCCCAAACAAAGGCAGGATCACAAAAGAACACGTAAATACATGTAGCATACAAGACCGAGTTTATTGGTGCACACTTTTCTGTACAAGTTGCAATGACACCCTTGGCACGCACATCATATTCAAGCACCGACTTAAATTTCTCCCAAAGGAGAACACACTCTGGAAATCATGGTTTAAGTTTCCACCCGCCTGTGATGAAGATTCTTTCCATTCTGGCTAGTGCAAGCTTACAAAGACCGACTTGACACAAAAGATATTTTGGTAATGCACATGCACACAATGATAATTGGAAATCCAAGATTGGTCCTACATGTACATGTACCGGTAGATTACACAGTTTCAAAACTCAATCCCTCGCTTTGAATTACTTCAGTGCAGTGTCTGTCATTCTATGTAAATGTAGTTTAGCCGTAAACATACCCAGTGGAGTTGACATGGTTGTACCGGTATGGTAAAACGTGATGCACTGTGGAGTCTTCAGTCATCAAATCTACATGTACATACATGTACAACTCGTGAATTAATACTTAAAAATCTTAAAATCTCAGGTAGCACAAATCATAACACAAACTTACACATTGGAAATGTTTAGATTTGTTTATTGGCTCATATATTTTTTCATTATTACATGACTTGTGTCATTTACAATTTCTCATCTTCATATTTCCTTTTGCCATATAAAAATGTTTAGTTTGCATACAAACTGTACAATTATAATGAATTTGTAGCCTATCATTCGTTTTTGTTGTAATACGGGCGATTCACAATAGTACGCCTCCAAGAATTTGAAACGTGTTGACCAATCACAAGGCGACCCTTTCCAAACGTCAGTCAACAGATTTCATGCACTGTGATTGGTCAACGTGTTGCAAACTCTTTAAGGCACACTATTATGACCCGCCCGTATTTTACAGTGCTTTGATATGTCTATGACACGGAAATTGTTTTTAAATATCTATTATTATTATTATTATTTTGTTGAAGTTGTTGACCAATTTGTTATTGTTCACTTCCTTAAGTCTGATTTTTAAAAATTGATTCCATCAGCTGATTTATCTGTTAATTTGCGTTATGTTTACTATTATTTTTTTCACTTGAACAATTACAGTTTTGATTTTTGACCCGTTTCACACATTCGACATGAATTCTGCACATTTCAACATTTCACTGACCGGCCCCTTTAAATGACTACTATGGTGAGATACTTCACATCTTAAACAAATGTACTTAATTATTATTATTATTAATGTCATGTGTTTATCATTGATGGCATTATTTACATGTAGTTTGTGCGATTGCTCAATATTTGTATTCATATGATCATATCCCATGTGTACTGTATTTATGTTTGTTCCATTGTTAACCTGTCTCTGGAATTGTCATTTCGATTTGGTTTTGTGCCGGCATCTCCCTTTTTAGCCCCCGGCTTCAGAAGATGCATCCGTAATTGCCTACTGGTTTATTTTTCTTTTTTTATAAACTATTTACATTTATTATCTTACTAAAATTATGTTAGAATCTCTTAGTAGCACTATAATATGAAAAATGTACAAATATGGAGAGAAAAGTTGTTTCAGATTGTACCAATGTAGTATACAATTGCTATTCACTTATGTGAATATATAATATAATATGTGAACCATGCTGTACATTGTATGAGTATACTGTACCCACTATGCTATATTACATGTACATGTGGGTCAAATAAACAAAGAGATTTTTCATTTCTTTTCTGATATGTCCCTGGGCAAATCTATTTAGTGTGATTGATCTGGTTAGTCACTGCTGCCAGGAGACCAAACAGGAACATTATCACATATGCCATCAGGCTGACATTTCACTGAGGTCAGTGGTGGTTGTGGATGTCCAGCCAATGATTGTGACCTTCAGAAGATGCTCAAGCATTGGTTGGTACAGTATGCACAATTGTATTACCTACAATGGAATACCCCCTGCCGTGGATAGCTACATGTACATGTACAGTGCATGTACATTGTATCTACATGTACATGTACCACACTGGCCATTTCAAGCCATTCATCATTTCTACAATGTCAACGGTATGTACATGTACATGTGCAAATGTACATGCATAATCCATATTGGTACAGATTCTGTAAAACACACATTACATGTACGTATCAAGTCCCAGTTTATGGATAATATATTACACTGCATGTTTTAGGCATGAACTGATGAAGTACTAAAAAATGCAGGTACACAGACATATACATGAACAAGCACAGTGCCTGAAAACAGGCCTTCAAAACGGCCGTAACAAAATGCACTAGCACAGTCCATTTCATTTTGCCATTTTCAGCTTTTGACTAGACCAATTATACCAAGGACACATGAGAACACTCCCTCACATTTTAAATGTCATATATGCACAAAACAAGAGTAAAATACCCACAGGGCTTTACTTTTGGGGATTTTATCTTTACATTTCCTTAAGACATATTGTCTGAATATTGACCATAAATTCACTTTTGGTTGGACAGATAACGGTACCAGTACCAAAAGGGATCAGAAAATGGCTGCCTGACTCTACTTTCATGCTCTGCATGTACCGGTATATTGAAGTTGTCCGTCAGTGGTGCAGTAAAAAGTAGAACATCTGGGTGTGTTTCTGTCCAACCAAGAAAAGGGATATGCTTTCAGTCCCACACCGAGCAGTAAGTTTGCTTCAGTGAAAAAGAGCCTAAATGTTTGTCAGTGATCCACAACGATGCTGTAGTCATCCCATCTCCTTGAGCAGTGCTGACAGTGCCGCCAGCTGTGTGCATACCACAAATTGTTCCAGGGGAGGAAATATTGGGACTCATTCACAGTTTCAGCAGCTCGAACTGATGACGTCTTCGGGAGGAAAATTTGTGTTGCCTTGGTGTCCTTAGTGACTGGGGTCAGGTGCACATTTTGCTAGATGCTGGCATGCATTGCATTATTTAAACTATGTAGTTCACACAATGTGCTACATGTACTGTTCAGTTCATAAATGAGGATTCTACAGCCAGTAGAGTGTCTGCATCCATGCACCTACACAAAAATTTCAGTATTTCATTCCTTTTACAATAACAAACACATTTTTCAATTTAATTCAATAAAGATTTGAATTATGAAATAATATTTAATCCTAAAGCTACATGTAACATGTTGCTTACAAACGATAAAAATACCCTATATATGAGGGCAACCAGGTAAACAATATGCAGTTTTCAAGACTCAACCAAAAATATGGCACATTAAAAATGCAGCCCAAAGCAATAAAGTGTGTTTCACCTGAGTTCAGTATGAGAA